CCCCCCAACATGGCATGCATATTCGCCTGGACGAGTTCAATATTCCCCCTCCCGAACTCCGAAATAAAGCACCCCGCCCGACTATGTACGAGATGACAAAAACAGTTAAACAGACCAACACAAAACGCACAAAACATCGTGCATTTCGCACAGCTGTCATGACTCGACATCCGGTATAGGGGGGGACGTTTGATCGAACCCAAGCACGCCTGTACTCAATCGACGACTAACTGGGTGTATGCACAACATTAGCAAACGCATACCCAAAAAAGGACGGCAGCACAGACAACACCTTCATGGCACCATTGCATTTCATTTCAGGAGAATACACCTAAACACACGCTGGAGAGAAAGAGGGAGCCGATTTCGATTGGACACAAAAAACCCGAGAAACAACGGCATTAAAAACAACACCTTTATTACACCTCTGCATTTCATTTACGACAAAGACAAAAAGAAACGAGAGAGAGAGAGAGATAACGAAATCGATGTCGTCATTTAAAAAAGGAAAGTGCATACTGCACTTCATCGATGCCAATTACAATTCAGAGGTGACGGTATCATCCGTCCCATCACACGATCGACTCCAACAACAAACGAGCCGAACAATGTAAAAAATAAAACAATTTTTACAAAAGAAAATAAATTTCACTGAAGGACTCATCCACCGAATCGGACCAGTGCCCAATTCCTTGCCCAGCACCGCCATTGGGGGAATGGCACGTCGACCACGACGGCGATGGCTAAGCTAAGCTACATCGACAACGGAAAGACTATCACTTTCGGTCCGTGAAATTCCATGCAAGCGAACAGAGAGCACAACAGAGGCAACACTAAGTCTAACGTTTGTCGATGGCCTTCGCTATCTCCAGCAAGGCGTGACACATAAGCTTGCTGACTTCGTCTGACCCTGCGTAGTGTTTTTTCTGCACTTCGATCTCCACTTCCAGCGCCTCGCACTGCCGTATGGCGATGGAGCAATGATGTTTGCTGTTGCTCTCCATCATTGACGCCATTAACGGCCCGTGCTTCTCCATGCACTCCGTCATTGCCTCAAAAGTTTGCTGCCTCGTGCTCTTCCTCTTGCCGAAACCGCCTGCGCCACCCGTCGTCTGCGAAGAACCTTTCGTGGACCCGTCGTCGTCGTCGTCATGCACTGCACCACCGTCCCCGTCGCCCACAGATTCAGGATCCGCAGAGGAGGCGGATGGCAGACGCACACCACCCTGAGCGCCAGTGTCCGCGACGTTCTTCGAGTTTATGGTGTGGTTCTTCGCGGTCGACCCCAGTATCTCATCGTAAACCGCACGATCCATATTGAAGTTGAAGCCCTTCGACATCCTGTCCTTCCCAGACAATTGGAAGAAGTCATGTTTCCCGGACAATTCTTGGAAATGATGAACCTTCTTGAACTGCTGCATCAGATCGTCCCACTTCTTTCCGCACCGATCGGCCTCTCTGTCGACGCCCACCTTCTTCAACCTCGTCGCCACATCCAGCCACTTCCATTCTCGCGGCTTCATCCGAGCGTACGCGTGGCCCATCCCCTGCAAATGCGCATCCTGATCACGCTTAGCCCGGATGAGGGCTATAATGTCGTCGACTGACCAGAAGTGACGACCTTCTTCACCATCGGCATCGCTGCCCCTGCCTGCCGTCCTTTTGCCCCGACGACCATTACCAGTACACGACTTCGTCTTCCCCCCCCTCCCCCCCATAGCGGCCGCCTGCTTCGACGGCGAAATGTAGCCTGCGTCGTCCTCCCCACCTTCAGCTCCGTTGTCGTTCCAGTCGGGGTCGTGCGCGTCCCCCACTGCTTCCTCGCCGTCGTGCCCGTCTTCCCCAACACGCAATCGCTGCACCCCATGAGTTATGGACTCCTCCCGCACCGACCTCATCAACTGTCGCTGTTCTGCCCACACCTCCCTTCCGTCACGTGCGTCACCAACATCAGTAACGCCAGGCGCCGTTTCCCTACACTCGCCAAGAGGACGACCTGCACTCGAACTGGCGGACAGGGGAGACGGAGACTGCATCCACTGGGGGCGAGCGGAGGCACCCCCACACACAGACGACGACCGAAATTGCTGCCTAGGAGGATCCTTGTTGTTCCCCGAAGCCTCCCGCAGCGGCGCTGGAGACCTGGGTGATCGCTGAACAGCCGTCACGTCGTCGCCTTCGTCGTCGGGATGGGGGTTTACGACGACCGTTCGAGAGACGGCTGCCGACCTCCCCCTGCCGAGTCCAAACGACAGATTCACGCCGCCATCGCCATCGGTGTCGCTGAGCCCCTGCTGAAGGAGCTCGGTGTACGACTGCCCTTTACCGCCGTCGCGGCTTCCAAACAGCTCTGTAGTCGCCCACTCCTGGGTGGATCCGCTTCCCGGTGGCATGGTCCCTGACCGTCTATCGTCCCCTTCCTCGTCGTCCGTGTCAGGCAGAGGTTGCAAGTGCAGTGGCAGGTGCGCGTGCCCGGTCCGCTCCGACGGCCTTCGACTATTTGACGGGCTGTGCCCGGACCACCGCCCACCGCGCTCCCCTGCGGACCCACTGATCGCCTTCCGGCCCTCCATTCTGTCGTTGCTCTTCACACACCTCCTTCTGCGGCCACGTCGCGGAAGGCCGCCGAGGATGCACATGTGGAAGACAACCACGAGGAGGAGCAATAAGACGACCAGCAGCAGCAGGGGCAGCCTCCGAAAGACGTCGGCCATGAAAAGCACGTGGATGACAGTGCCAGCTAGTAGACAACGGGGAATCTATCACGTAACGGCGACCGACACCGCTGCAAACGCCTGACCGCAACGAACGACAAAAGCACAGTAACGCATTCCGTTTGTGAACACATTGCGCGATCGCCCGGTCGGGGGACGGTTCAAATATTCGAGTCTTGCGACCGTTGGGCGCCTTCCCGCTCGGGGACAAGGGCGACGACGCAAGAAAGCCGCTTTTCGACGTCGGGGAAGAGACCGGGCCACAAAAGGGGACCGTTGGCGCACTCTTCCATGACGCCGACCGTTGCCGATCGAAGATGTCCGTCCACGGGCGCCAGGAACAACACTGGTACAGACGACCGTCGCAAAATGTCGTCGAGAGAGCTGCCGACGACGTGCCGATTCTTCCGGATGCTCGACCTCCGAGGGACCTCGGGAGGTCCCTTGGGGAACGCATCGAAATGGCTGTGGCCCGAGAAATCCCCGAGGAATCCCCGAGGAAATGTTTTCACATTTTTTTTTCAATTTCTTCCCCGAGGATAAGTGGAACGATCATTTCCTCGGGGGATTTACGCGCCCGAGGAGTGTGGAACGAGCCCCATTGTGGTCCGGTAACCCGAAGCCCTAAAAGCGCGGCCTGTTAACGGCCCTCGCCCGACGTATGGGCCAAGTACTGGTGGTTTAAGCACCGACCAAAAAGGTTTAAACCACCAGTGGGTGGCCAAACGACGCCGGGCCTTGGAGCACCCCGCGCGCCGAGTTCGTACGAACCGCCGACGCAACTTTTCGTTTCGTTTTTGGCTGGCGCTTCCAGCCATTGTGGTCCGGTAACCCGAAGCCCTAAAGGCGCGGAGCGTTAACGGTCCGCGTTCGACGTATGGGCCAAGTACTGGTGGTTTAGAAAGTGCGCTACATTGCCCGCGCGACTTTTCGTTTTATTTTTGGCTGGCGCTTCCAGCAGAGCTGGGCACCGGGCGCCCAGAGCCGCACCCACCTGCACCCACCTGACCCACAAGGTGATGGGTCGGATTTAGGTCTACATGAGTTGTCTTGGGTGGGTTATGGGCGGGAGCAGCCAGCATGCCATTCTGGGTGACGGGCGGGTGAAGATTTGACCTGGGTCACCCGCTAGGTGGGTGGAAGGCGGGTGATGGCTTGGCCTGGGTCACCCGACCCATAGACCCAGGATGACCCAAAAATTATGCACCCCGCCCCGCCCCCCCCCCCTTGTGTAGTACGTCGGGCTTGAGGTTGAGAGCCAAAAAAAAAAGTACCTGATTCAGTTGACCAGGTCCTGATAAAGTAACGTTGGTGCGAAAGAAAAAAGAGGCGCGCTCCAGCAGTGCAGCTGCCCCTGGGCAAAAAAAAAAATCTTGAAATATTTTCCTTTGAGAAGTTCGAGTCTCATTGTTGATGCTGCCGTTGTTTTAATAATAGGATTTTAGATGTCTTTGTTGCAATGTTATGTTGCCGATGTTAGGGTTATAAGACCAGCAGGTTAATCCTCCCCTGGTATGGGGGAGTGATCAATGCCTCTTCTGCGTAAATGATATACACAGTCATGATGAGTCGGTTTATATTGGGATGACCACGTGGCCTATCTACATGTTTCCATTTCAACATATCATTATACAGGGACACTGGACCCGATTTCCAGCAGGTGCTGCTCCCCACCAATGGATGGAGCCTTCGCTGCAGGGGTCACTTCATGAGGACGCTCTTATCACCGCGTCAAGTGGACTTCCTGCCCTTGAAGTTTGCAAAAATAAATAAATAAATAAATAAATAATGATGGTGTAACGGACTGACATGGGCAGGTGCAGGCTGATGCGGGTGGGTGTGGGTGGAGAAAATTTAGGTATTGGACGCGAGCGGGTGATGATAATCTTACGGGTGCGGGCGGGTATGGGTGAGGGATTTTTTCGGGTCATGGGCGGATCGGGCGTGGGGCTGAAATTTCAAAAAATATTTTGGGTGGGTGGGGTCGTCTAAAAGTAAAAAATAAAATTCTTGGGCCGGGTGGATGGGGAAAAAAACATTTTGGGCGGGTTGGGTCGAGGGTGAGGAAAATAAAAAATTGCCCACCTCTGGCTTCCAGCCATTGTGGTCCGGTACTCCGGGCAATTATTCCACCAGCATCAGGCGCAAAGCATTAACGGGGAAGCGTCGCGGCGAACGTACGGGCCAAGTACAGGTGGCTTAAAAAGTGTGCTGCTGGCGGTTCGGAAAAGCTTGGCGCACATTGCAACGCCTCCGGACCCAGGTGTACTGACGGTTGCGAGTCTTTCAGACCTTCCGCAAATTTTAAATCTGCAAAAGGACTCCATCTTAGGGCATCGCCACACCACCCCCCGAATGTGAAAAAGATAAATTTGAACCTGTGGAGGGTGCATCTTCCAATGATTTCGCTGAAGATACATGCTCCCTTTAGCCCATTCAGGGAGTGGTGTGGCGAGGCCTTTGGTCTGTTAATTTTCAGTATTGTTTTTCTGTCGTTCTCCCTTGTGTGTGTGTGTGTTTGACAACTTTTTTCTTTTATTTTTCCCCGTCATATGCCATTCGGGCTTCATGCTGGACCGGCATCGTGTTTTCACATCGCCGCCCACCCTACCCTTGAACCTGGTAGGCTGACAGCGGACATTTTTTTTATGATGCCCCCAACGGCACAAGGCTGCCCAGCCTGTATGGGCCCTCTGCCCAACGGCCGCGGCCAACTTCACATGCGGGAAAAACCTACTTAACAAGGTGATAAGAATCGTAGTCTGATTCAGTGTGTTTGGGTTGTGTGTGGCGTGTGGGAGAGTGCTGGTGTCGCATACCGTAACGGTACAGACCAGAACAAGAACAAACCTCTCTCACGTAGTACAGGATAGCGCAGCGGAAGGCTATAATACCAATGATCAGACCAATCAATGTCGCAATGCAGACCAATCATACATCATCATCATCACCTGGTGTGAAGGGGCCTGACGCTCACACAGGAAGAATGCGCCAGTCCCTAAACCATACACAGACGAAGAAGAGGGGGGTCAGACAAAGAAGAGGTGGAAGATGAGAATGTCGTTCCAGATCTAGAGTATAGCATCCCCCACAGTCTGCTCATATCCCCTCTCAAACATCACTACCCTCCTTGTGAAACCCGTGTAGAGCAGAGCTCACCCCATCCGAGAAACCCTCATACAAAATTTGAAAGAATCATTATTACACATAGGAGAGAAACAAAGAAAAAGCGTGCGGAGTTTAGAAATCCAATTTTTTATTGAAAAGGGGTTGAAAAGAATCTCAATTATTGAGAAAAACTTATGGAAGATTCCAATAGCAGATGAGACGTGATACGTCTATAACTAGTTGATAGAAAACAGGAGAGATTAATTAATAACTAATTAATTAAGTCGAAAATTTAGGTATTTAAAAAAATAACATTCAGGCTAAATTACGTGAAGTTCGGTATGTAATGATAAGGATAGTCAAGAATATTTCGAGATTTTAGTTAGGATATTAATTAACGAAGATAAAAATCGAAGAATAGTTAAGATACTAATTAAAGATGATACTTATAAGGAAGATTGAATTGGTAATTAGAGTAAACATTGAACAAATGGGATGGACAGATGGGGCTCCCGGGACCCCTGCCCAAGCTATGTAGAAGAAGACAAAAAAATATTGGCAGATCTTTGTGAAGCCCTGGGCCTGGTGGACGCGTACAGACACTTGCACCCGACAGAGAAACCTATACGTGTCATCGCACCAACGACTAGGCTAGACACTCAAAATCACGTATTGACTTGATCTTACTCTCGCAGGAGATTCAAAATGCCCTACAACTAGCTACCGTCTTCCCACAAAGCCCCCACCCCGGCCTAGACCACCGCTTATGCGGAACCATCTTCTCCTTTCGGAAACGGCCGGACCAAGGGTCTGGATACTACAAGCTCAATACATCCCTGCTCATGTACAAATCGTTCCACACATACATTCGTGATGTCTGGAACTTTTGGAGAGACCAGAAACACTCGTTCGACTCGGAAGTCCGATGGTTCACCAACAGACTCTTCTTCCTAGCCAGGAAATGTAAGGAATATTTGAAGTTGTTGGCAAGCAGATGACATGCACACGAAATGCATGTTCACAGAAGACTTCACAACCTGGTTAATCATGACAACTCTAATGATCACATCGCGGACATTCATAATTTGTAGGACAAACTTCTGCAACTAGCACAACACAGATGGCAAGGAATTAGGATTCGAGGCAAACTATCGAAATGGACTACCGAAGGTACCATGGACTCTCAAATTTTCAGCCTAGCTTCTCTGAGAGCACACCGCACCACTATCGAGGCTTTTTTTAGACTCTGTGACCAACGAATTAGCTACCTCCGTAGCTCATTGTGTAAGGATCGCTGGATCCTTTTACAAAGAATTTTTTTTCTCCCACATCCCCCAATGGCAGGAGGTAGACCTACTAAGAGAGTTGGAGGATTTCCTACGTCCGATGGAGAGCCGCCTCTTGTCGATATAGAAAGACCATTTGGACCGCCAGGTCACCAAAGAGGAAATTTGGACGACACTCATGTAAATGGAGGAAGAGAAAACCCCAGGCTTAGACGGCTTCCCCAAGGAATTTTGGGAGGCCATGTGGCCTTTCCTGAGTAAAGACCTGGTAGAATTCTATAGGGCAGTTTGGGATTCCGGAGAGTTGGGGGAATTAGTAGGGCAAGGGGCGTTATCGTTAGATTCGTTACTTCATAAAAAAAAGGACAAAATGAACATCCGGAACTACCGACCCATCACACTCCTGACGGTGGTTTATAAAATGTTGTCAAAAGTGTTGGCCAACTAAATGAGTGAGGTAATGAAAGACATCATCCATCCGGCCCATACTGGTTTCATGCGTAATAGGAACATCCAAGAAAACATACTCCTAGTCAATGAGATGATTAGCCTGACCCATCAGTCCAAAAGTAACGCCCCGCTCATCTTCATTGACTTCAAAAAAACTTATGACCACGTAGACTGAACATTCCCCGATAAGTGTCTGGAAAAACTG